TCCTGTCAGAAGTCCCAAGCCAAGACAGCGAACCTACCAATGGCAGCCAAATATATAGGCTCTCCCACAATTTTCTTTGCTAAGCCCACCTCCTGCGATACAGTGGTGGTAACAGGACCACAGATCCGCGGATCTTTCAGAGAACTTCAGGTCTTTTATGATGTTAGCATTCATCCTATACAGCAGGATTTCATTACATTTTGCTAAAACTCTTTCAAGCTTTTTTCACTTTCAAAGAGAAAGCACAAACACATCTGTGTGCCTTATGAGGAGCAGAAAGGAGGTCTACCACCTCATCCACTACTTATCAACTGAACAGGACCACTAAGAATCAACTGTGGAGCAACCAGGGCCAGAGCTTCCACTAGGCAAACTAGGCAGCTGCGTAGGGCGCAGTGCCACCTAGGGGCACCTGGGCGCAGCACAGGCTGGCACTTTCTCTGTGTGGGATGCTGCCACATCATGAATGATCCTTCAGCTGAGGAAAGGGGCGGCAGAGGGGAGGAAGAAAGGACAGAGGAAGATGCCTGGTGTTTGGGGCCAGTGTAACAGCTCAGCTGCCGGTCCTTCCAGTGTTCCTCTCAGACTCAGTCCTCTGCTGTCTCTCCAGAGATAGCTCTCTCTCTGCTGACAGGAAGTGATGTAATCATCTGAATACAGGGCACCAGAGGGGAAATGCTTGATCCACAGTTCCACTTGTCAATGTCCCTTGGTTTCATTTATCACATAGCCAGCACCTGGCTACACTGGCTTTTTCATTAGATAGCTTAGTGTACAGGTATGATATCTATCATTTGCATATGCCTGTACGCGTGTTTGTGATAGCACCACCATATAGAGCGGCGCACAATCATTCATGTTATAGTCAGGCTGTACATTGTACCTGGGCTGTAGGGGATGGAGGTGAAAAACCTTTCAATAGTAACTCGATCCAGCTCTGTGCACATCTGCAGCAGCTCTTCTCCCTTTTCTCACAGGGAAGCAGAGAGTAGGGGGCAGGGCGCACTGTGTGTTTGAATAGACACACACAGCCCAACCTGGGATCGAGCCTGCATGAGTGCCCCCATAGCATGCAGCTTGCTATGCGGGCACTTAGAAGGGAGAAAATTTGATTTGCTAGTAATTTTATGTACATTTTAGACCTCATGCACCGAGCTGTACTGAGGCTGTACAGCGTGCAGAGCATGCGTAATGAAACTACTGGGACACACTGCCGCCGTGTGCAGCCATCCATTGATATGCATTAGACAAGGCGGCTGTGTGCCTAGGGTTGCATAGGCACTAACGTATGCTTTGAACTCACACTGTGTTTGGAACTTGCATCAGTGCTCATGCAGGTGCTTTACGCCATTACCGGCGCACAACCACATACAGCCACCTTTCCAATGCATCTCAGAAGTCGGCTGTACATGACTACAGTGGCTCCCAGGAATGCCATTACACATTCTCCACACATTCTCTGTACACTTCCTCTATGGCCGTGTGCATGAAGCCAAAAAGCGTAAACAATCTTCAAAGCAAATAAAACAGGAAGCACTCACGCAAGATGAAGATCTCTTATGTTGTTTATGAGTCGCTAAAGACGCCAAGATATGCACAACAAAAAAGACAAGCCTGAAATGTTCTGCCTACCAAATTTATAGATCACATTGTAAATGTCCTGCAACATTTTTACTCGACATTTGTGCTGTATTAAAACAGAAACTCTAATAAATATAATCATTATACTGCCAAAGCACAGATGAAATAGCAGGCAGTGTGTTGCTCAGCATATGAAAGTCAAGTAAGCTTTTATGACAGTTTATTACAGTTCACTGATATCTTTTGTTAGGAAAATCCACCATAACACTTGTAAAGGTCCTAAGATATCTTGTCTACCAAAGACTTGCTGATTGCATTACGACATCTTAGTCAACCAATTTTCCCATTGTATTATAAATGGCTTAAAGGAAAAGTTCACCTTTTGGACAAAAATAATAAATGCACATTTTTTTGCAGGTAAAAAAATATGCATTTATTATTTTTGTCCAAAGGAGCCTGAAAAGCATTGCACCAGTGATTAGACGATCGCTGATGCAATGCAGGTCTCCTGCAGACCTGTCAGAATATCTGCAATATCAGCAAGCAGATATACTGACAGAAACTTCAATGAACTACCATAGCGCTCCACAGCACTGTGGTAGCTCATTGAAAACTACAAGCCCACAGCCGCGAAGGCAGCCAGGATTTGTAGGCACTCATTCACAGAACTCTGTGAATAGTGACGCGGCCGTGTTGGTGGAGCCCCGTGCGGCCACGCTGTTTTCAAATCTGACAGATAGTACGGGGAAACTTCTCCCCATACTATCTCTCAGGGGGAGGCGGGCGTGGCTGCGGCTATGGGAACATGTTACATGTTCCAACCTAAAAATGGGTGGAACATGTAACATGTTCCCAAAGGTGAACTTTTGCTTTAAGGAGAAAAAACAGTGTGATCATTTTCAGGTTAGTAGCTCTACATTACATTATGGGACGCTCACAACAGGAAACGCACAGGAACGCTCTGTGCATGCAACATGCTGCTTGCAATACAATAACTTAGTCAGCCAATTTCTTTGTTGCAGTATTTAGACCCTCTAGCATTGGGTGCGACTTGGCATGCAATTTTCATGCCCTGCGACTTGCAAATTGCATGCCAAGTCGCATCATATTGTCCGCAATTACAGGGGTCATATTGGTGCGGTTCCCACTTGGTAGTGCATGCACTAACTTTTGGTGCGACTTGCATAGACATCTGTGTCAGATGTCTTGCAAATCACATCTCAAATCGCAATGACATCCCGACTTTGAAATTGTGCAACTTACAGCGAAGTCTCACGATTTCAAAGTCAGGATCGATGTGACCCGGGGTGTAAATGGCTAAAGGAGAGAAAACAGTGTGATCATTTTCAGGTTAGAAGCTCTCGATTACATTATGTGCAGGCTCACACCAGGAAACGCACAGGAACCTTCTGTACTTTCCTGTACGAATCCCATGGAATTCTGTGCAGTGCAATTTCAGCCAATTCATTTGGAATGAATTGCTCCGCATCGCACCAAAAGTAGTGCATGCACTACTTTTGGAAACTCACTGGAACCGCATTGCATGGTACTTCCATACTATACAATCCGGTAGAGGCAAATGCACTGCATTTGCAACCTGCGATTGTGGTGTCATTAACTTAATATTGACAACCACTGCAAATTGCATCTGCAGTGGGTTTTGAACATGATGTGGGAACTGTGCATGGAACGGCTCTTAATCTGATATCTGGAGGGCTGCTGAGAATGCTGTAAATCCCTGTAGCAGTCCGTGCTTCCCCGCAAATGGCTTCCCCTCTGCACATTGACTACTGGAGTTCATTTGCTCAGCATATTCACCATTCTAATACTGCTTTGTATTTTTTTCAATGAATACATTCTCTGACTAGTTAAGGTGGAGAAGAAGGGCAGTGATGACACAATCTCCACCTTTTCAAAACAGTGAATGCCTAGTATCTATTGAAAAAATACAAGGCATTCTATGCATGGCAGAGGTGCCGAGCGAGCGACTCCCTGTGGTCAGCGTGTAGAGGACAAGCCATTAACACAGAACACGGAAGATCATGGTTCACACCAAATGTAGCAGCTCTACTCCATGTGAGATTAGATGCCACACTCCATACTGCAGTTGCGTGGAAGTGCTGGATCAGCTCATCTCCACCGAATCAGTTTTTACCATCAAAATGAACACTGCACACCAAGATGCAAAATGCTATTCTTTATTTAAGTAGCCAGCAAATATAAATTCTATTCTGATGTGTTTCTCACTAAACAACTTTTTCTCAAAGAAATTATTACTACCCCCCTTTCAACTCTCATTAAGGGTGTGTTTGTCCTCTGAAGAGCAATTCACCAAAGATTTAGAGGGTACTAGACTAGACAGGTGGTGAAGAAGTGTTATGCCATTTCCTCGTAGCCTGTTTTAACCCCCAAAACCCCCATTGTCATGCCACTGGTTGAGGGGTGGTAGCGGCACAGAACCATTCACTTGAATAGATCGTGTCTTGCAGGCAGCACTGCCTGCTGAATGCAATGGGGGGGGGGGGGGCATGTGTATAACCTCATGTATAACCTGGCCTTTGCAGCTTAGGGGGCTCAACCGCTTGTTTTTGCCAACACCTAACCACCAGTGTAAGCTAGGTCTTAGACTAATGCCAGTGTTCTTTAACTACTTGAGCTCCAGAAAGTATTACCCCCTTCATGACCAGGCTATTTTATGCTACTTATAACTGGTAATTGCACAGTCATACAATGCTGTACCCAAACAAAATTTATATAACTGTTTTCACACAAATAGAACTTTCTTTTGGTGGTATTTGATCACCACTGGGTTTTGTTTTTGTTTTATATAAATGAATAAAGACCAAAACGTTTGACAAAAAAAACAACATTTTCTACTTTCTTCTATAAAACATATTTAATAAAAAACTTAAAAAAACGAATTTCTTCATAAATTTAGGCCAAAATGTATTCTGCTATAAGTCTTTGGGGAAAAAAATCCCAAAAACTGTCTATTGATTGGTTTGTGAAAGTTATAGCGTCTACAATCTCTATGGTATATAACCTGGATATTTATTTATGTATTTTTTTTTTTTTTTTTATACTAGTAATGGCAGTGATCAGCAACATATAGTGTGACTGTGATAGTGAGGTGGGCCATCTGACACTAACTGATGCTGTGTGGGAACTAACTGACAGTGATCAGTGATAATACTATACACTGTCACTGTACTAATGACACTGGCTGGGAAGAGGTTAAACATCTTGGGGTAATCAAGAGGTTAAGTGTATGCCTAACAAGTGTTAACCGCTTAAGGACAGCTGTATAGCAGATATACTTCTACAGGGCGGCACCTGTGCGCAGAATCACATATATATATGTCATTCTGCATTTCCAGGTAGGGGGCGCGTGCGACCCGCGCCGCCATTCGTGGCCACGGATGTCAATTACTGGGTCCTACCTTGTAATTACCTGCCGGCTCCCGGTGATTACCGAGCATCTCCGATGGGGAGGAAGATTGTTTTGTTTACAAACAATCTTTCTCCCTGTCAGCTCGAGCACACTGCTCGGGATGGCTGTGCACAGTACAGCCATCCCGATCAGTGTGCTTACAGTGAAGAACACACACCCCACCTCCTAGTAAAACACTCCCAGCACACAGTTAACCCTTTGATCACCCCTCACATTAACCCCTTCCTGCCTAGTGTCATTAGTACAGTGTCAGTGCTTTGTTTTTAGCACTGATCACTGTATTGGTGTCACTGGGGTGTCAGTGACACCAAGCTAGTTCCCCCCAGTGTTAGAAGTCCCGTTAAAAGTCGCTGATTGCTGCCATTAGTAGTAGAGGAAAAAAAACCCAATATCTATACCACCATTTGTAAACGCTATAACTTTCACGTAAACTAATTCATTTACACATATTGGGATTTTTTTAAGCAAAGACATGTAGCAGAATACATTTTGGCATAAATTTATGACGCAATTTGATTTTTAAAATTTTTTTACTGGACATGTTTAATAGCAAAAATTCCAAAATACTGTTTTTTTTTCTCAAAATTGTCAGTCTTTTTTTGCTTATAGTGCAAAAAATAAAAACTGCACAGGTGATCAAATGTCACTGAAAGAAAGCTCAATTTGTGGGAAAAAAAGGACGTAAATTGCACTTGGGTGCAGCTTTGCATAACTGCGCAATTGTCAGTTAAAATAACGCAGCGCCATAACGCAAAAAAATTCCACTGTGGCCAATAGCACTGAACCCAGAAGCAGGGAAACAACATACAATTACGTCACTGTGCCTGTACAAGCTGACTGTCTGCAGTACAATGCAGGTGGACAGTCCTATAATGGTTAAGGCCCCTTTCACACAGGGTGGGCTCTATTTAGTTAAGCAGGGAATCTGTCAGCTGATCCCCTGCTGATCAGAGCAGAGCAGGCAGATGACAGGTCCATGTCCGCTCAGTTTATGCAGAACGCATGCAGACAGAGCATGTTCTGCTCTTTGGACGGTTGAGTTCAAATGGATTCCGCTGTCTTTTTACACCCGACTGCCCTCTGATCCAATCATCTTTTTTTTTTTTTTTTTAGCGGACAAGATCAAATAGGGGTGAATGGAGAGTCTGATCAGGTCCACCTGAAAAACTGACAGGCGGACCTGATTGGACCCGTCGTGTGAAAGGGGCCTTAGTTTTTCCAAGTATTGTGCTCTTTGAATTGCAGGACTTGCAAAAGTTGCAAATGGACAGAGACAAAGTCTGCCAGAACAACAAGGCTCTGTGGGGCAGAGGTTGGATCTCTGACCTTTCTACAACCACTATCAATCCTTCTGCTACTACTACTACCAGCATGGCTCTATTTAGCTATCTGCCTCCTCTTCCTTTTACTTGTTTAAATAGATACTGGGGCGAATTTACTGAAGACAAATACCCTACTGTGCACTTTGCATGTGTAGTTGCACCGATTTTCCCCAGAGTATAGTAGATGTGGTAAAGCTGATTTCCTTCATCCAATCATGTGCAAACAAAAATACAATCTTTTTATTTCCTTGCACCTGATTGGGTATTCTTTACAAAGTGAAGCTTTACCACATTCACGTTTAGGCCCCTTTCACACAGCATTCTGTTTTTTTGGATTAATTCAGTCACATTTTTTCCAAGAAAAAACGGATCAGTTCACATCAGTTTTTCATCAGCTTATGTCAGTTTACATCTGTTTTTCATCAGTTTACATCAGTTTTTAATCAGTTTACATCCGTTTTTCACTGTTTACATCTGTTTTTTGTCCCTTTACATTCGTTTACATCTGTTTACATCCATTTTTCATCTGTTCCGGTTTTTTTAACATAAGAAAAATGGGGTTTTCTTCCATTCAAAAAAAAGATGCTAACGGATGCAGACATTAACGGATGTAAACAGATGATCATCCGTTTTCATCCGCTAGTCCATAGAAATACATGGGTGTCCGTTTTTCATCCGTAAATGGACAGATGAAAAACGGACATATGGAACGCCCGTGTGAAAGGGGCCTAACTAAGGAAAATTAATGCAACTGCACTTGCAGAGCACTACTGAGCTTGCAAAGTGCACAGTCTATTTGTCTTGAGCAAATCCACCCCAATGTTACCAACTGAAAAAAAAAATCCAGCTAAAGGTATAGAAGAATCAAGTATTTGAAATGCTTATTTGCAGTGTTTTCCTTTCTGTAAATCAATTCTTATTCACTTGCAATGTGTCCTTGAACTTACTAGTAAAATGGACTATTCCAGAAAGAGTAAATTCCCTTGTACAGCCTCCTCCTTCCTTGCACATCTTAGCCTTCCCCTCTTCTGGAAGTGTTTAATTACTGTCTGTGCTGGCCAAGCTCCATCTCCCCTCCTCTCACAGCTTCCGGGGAGGAGCAAAGGGGAATACTATAAAGTGTCAGTTGAGTGAAATCTCTGAATCTGCTCGGGATGTGGACATGACATCTAAGATGGCATCAGTCTCAGGACTTTTACTACTCACGGAAGGATTTTATAGTTATATACTTACATAAAATGTGTTACACATATAATCATATGGGAAGATTATGTACAAATGAATAATCTGGTGTCAGGGTCTCTAACTAGTTATAGACACATTTGAGCTATGAGCCGCTAGTTGCTTTAGATTACGAGGATGATGGAGTCTTGTGTAGAACAGGTACAACTCCATGTTGTCTTCAAGAATCAGATCTGTTAGTTGTCATGACTTTACTCACTTTTCAGCATAAGGGTATTAGGTTCATTAAACTCTCCATCACAGTAATAGAACTGAACAACATGATAACAGACCTGACAATCAAGATTTAAAAGACTTTGTGTAACAGTCAGAGTCTTTCCAAGAAAAATGTGGATATTATGACAGCACGGCAATATACACACCCACATCATATGAATAGTAAATGCATGCTAATGTCTAATGTAGACTTTCATTCTCTATCTCTGAGTACATTGCTGCTTTTCCACTAGAATCAGCAGTTAGAAATGATAGTCATATCTCTACTATGTGGGTAAGCATATTGCAGTAATAATAATAGTAATCTAACCTTGCACCCAAATATTGTTTTTATTAATTTTTTGTTTTTTTTAATCCTCACCAAAAACACAGCTATTACATCTAGGGACGTGACGCGTGCAAACATCACAAACATAAAGCAGGGCCCTGCTCTTACTATAACATGTTTACACATAAAATCAAATGTTATCAGAGAAGCTGTTAGAAACCATGGAGCCCCATACAACCAACCTGACAGGGCACTTCCCAAAAGAAACATAGTTTACTATGCTGCAGTTTATGAATGAACACAGTGAGTGATCAGTATCGATCACTCATTGTATTCATTTAGGAAAGGAAGGAGCTGGTAAATGTGACATTTACTGGATTCTTCCCCTACTCTCCATCCTGAAGGATCCCATTGTGTGCTTGCAGCTGCTGGTGGGAAGGAGAGGAGTGAAGCCGGCAGCACTTCGGGGGTGGGGGCACACAGGGAGGCCTGGGCAGCAGGGAGAAATGTATGGTGCACAGGGAGGGCAATGGGTACGGGGGGCAATTACTGGAACCAATCCCCTGTATGTCTCTCTCTGCACCAGCTGAAAGTCAGCAGGAATGAGAGGAGAAGCTTTCAGCTGCTGCAGAGACAGCCATTCATAGGTTCCAGTAAGTGACCTCTCCCCCCTGCTGTGCTGATCACTCTCCCTACCCACATCTGATTCACCCAGCTTCCTGGGCCCCTCTGCTGGCACAGGAGAACTAATGTTACCCCCTTATCCACAGCCCTGAATGTGATTTCTGTTATAAAAAATAAATATATACTTGGTGGGCTATTAATTTTACTTATTTCACACTTGCTCACTAGTGTTTAACCCCTTGATGCTGACCGTACGCAAATTAGCGGCTTCACAGAACTGCGCTTTTTTCCGTGGGGCCACTAATTTGCATACCTGTCTTTCTGCTGGCTGTACAGTGCACTCCCAGCACAAAAACCAGGGTGTCACTGAGATCCCCAAGGCCCATTCTAACAATCAGGACCCGGAACTTCCGGTTCTGGGTCACCTGATTGCTGTGATTGCCTCTGATTGGCTATCACAGTGATCCGTCACTGTGAAGCCCGCCCCCCTTATTTTCTCTCTCTGAATGGAGACGAGAGATACATTGTATCTCTCTCTCTGTCCTTTCAGAGAGAGAAAAAAAACAAGTATGTGTAAAAATAAATAAATAAAAATAATAAGAAAAAAATAAACAAAAATACCTAGTTTATGGTTTGATCTAGGTCTGTGCCAGGGTTAGTGTTTGGGTTGAGGTCAGGGTCAAAGGTCAAGGTCAGAGTCAGGGATCAAGCAGTAGAGCAAATTTCGCACAATTGTTTCTCTGCTGTACTACAGGTACAAACAACAACTAACATACACACATGTGGTAACACTGCAATCTTCAGGAGCAGGAGAATATATTTTGGGTTGTTCTTTGGTGGTAGATTATGGTAGTAGCAAGAAATATTACAGTTAAATTTTAAAAAAGGCTTCTGTTTACTATTTTTGGCCAGTTTTCCTGTGGTAATTTAAAAAAAAAATCATGAGATATCCATTACCATTTACCACCAAATGAAAGTACAATTTGTCCTGAAATAAAACAAAGTATAATCCACCTGGATGCACAAAGTAATTGTGATGATATGTACGGTTTTGCTAACACATGTCAAAGTTGCAAAATTGTGCTTAGGCGTTAAGATTTGTTTTACCCTTAGGCATGAAGGGCTTAAAACAAGTTATAAAATAAACTTGGAAAATTTTAATTTGAGGATGTGTATATAATTCCACTCAATTCCTGGTTGATATGACTCTACTAAATCCTAAAGAGACCACTAATCCTGTTTATGTCCCTTTCACAAGGCCCTGCTCACAGATCCCCTGCTGATCGGAGCAGAGCGGGTGGATGACAGGTCCATGTCCACTCAGTTTATGCAGAGCGGACACGGACAGAACTTGCTCTACTCTATGGGCGGCCAGGAGTAAATGGACGCCTCCATTTTATTAAGTGGGCCTAATTGGACCAAGAGGTAGGCGGGTGTAATGGACACAAGTCCATTTACACCCACCGTTTCATAGGAATGCATGGATCTTCCAGTCAGGTCCACCTGAAAAACTGACAGGAGGACCTGATTGGATCACCCATGTGAAATGGCCTTTATTTAAAGCAGAACATAACTCTCTCAATTAACATTGACTATTTGTAGCCCTTATGCTGCTAGCATTAGTAAATAGATAGGAAAGGATATCATATTTACTTGCTTTAAACTTTTTTTTTACTTTCTTCGGTTACATCCTGGTTTCCAGGCCTAGGCAGATTATGTCATAAATACCAGAAATCTTCAGTTGGGGAGGAGGGGTCTTCTCAGCTAAGCACACCCTCCTGTCTGCATGCCTGAGCTAAGGGCAGATGGATTCCAGAACGTAAATGATCACCAGAAATACTAGGCAGCGTTTTTCAAAGTGATTCATCAGCAAAATAAAGCACATGGATGGATGGGTGCTTTTGCTTTGAATATTAAAATTAACTAAATAGCATTTTTGGTTTGTAGTGGTCTGATGCAGTATATTTTCACTTGCATCTAATCAAAGCACACCAGTCAAATTAATTTTACATATTTTGTTCAGGAGTAGGGCTTAGTGTTAGGAGCATCAGACACACTCATATTATCTCATCTCCCATGTCTCAGGCACTTTCTCTTTATGGCCAGAGCATTGGCAGTTTTTGCAGGCAAGAGGCCCTGCGCTGCTGACAATGCCCCACACTCTTAATGGTTGGCAGGGAGAGATGTCCCTGTTGCAGTGGCTGATGTTCCAAATTATTTGCCCTGAATTGACTGCAAGGCTGTGGTGCTCTATTTGAACAGGACTTTGGGCTTATGATAGCATTTGGTGCTTAGCACCTATACCTTGTGCCTTGCTTTGACTTTGGATCTCTTTTGTTACTGAGCCTTGCATGGATACTGTTCTGATTGCTGCTTGCCCTGACCCTTGCTTGGATATGTTTACTCTGTTGCTCACCCTTGTTACTCAATCTTTCCTGGATACTGATACTCTTCTAAATGCCCCCAACTCTGACCCTTGTCTGGATATGTATATTCTTCTTATTGCTGCTTTCCTTGATCCTTGTTTGGAGAGGGATACTTTTCTGACTGCCACTTGTATTGACCCCCTTTCCTGGATAACAAACTATGCTACTGTGGTCAGCTCAGTCCACTGCTAGCTAACCAGTTTTGGTCACTTCTACACACACCACTTGCCTTGAACATTACCAACTTAAAGCCATCTAACATGGTACATATATTTTCTCTTTTTTTGCTGGGAAGCATCCCAGCTTTTTGAATATAGCATCTTGCCTTAAGTGCTGGGGACATCCAAGTACAAGAAGGCATACTAGCCTTAAGGGAAATGAACTGGCCTAGGTAAAACTGCCCATAAGCCTCACTATTTACACAGAACAGGACACACAACTGTAAACCTATTGTTAGTACCCAACCTAAGTTTGAGCTTTTTCTAATTACAAGAGGTAGTGTATGATGATATATGCACAATATTCCCTAACAATAGGGAAACATATTTTACAACATCCTGCAAAGTAGTGTAGCACTACCTCCTTAGGAGTTGCATACGTTTTGAGTCCCCACTCTAGTCCTGCACAGCCAGGCAACATGCATCTTCACAAACTTGCATCCAGGAGTCAGTAGCCAGTTCTTGAACTTGTTTTGATGTTTAATTAGGGAATTTTAGAACTTATGGGGCAAGGGGTGTACCGGACACCCAAAAGAACTGAACTTTGTACAAGTGGTTATAACAACAGACTGTTTTGGAGAGCTAGCCAGCATCTCCAGTAGTACCAGCCCAGACCCCAGATGCTCCTTTATGTGGCTTTCTGGAGGAATCCCTGAGCAGGGGATCCAGTGCCTGTCACTTTAAGAAATAAGACAGTCCCGAAGGGTGGATAATCTGGTTTCCCACCAGAGTTCTCCTTCCCCTATCTGGCCCAGGGGGTGCAGGACTACTCACTCAGTTCTTCTCCTGTGTTGCTGGTGGGTCGGTGGCTGCTACCAGGATTAGGTTTTCGCATTCCCTTGCTCCATTCTTCTGGGTCATTGACTTAGAAAGTATTGAAGCCAGAGAATCAGAACCATAGCCAAGCATCTAGCATTTTCATAAAATCAGTAATGACAGCTCTAACAGGTTTTGTGGAAGTGATACTTCTGCTGTTCATGTAGACAAAGACATCAACGGGTTTATTTACTAAAGCTGGGGAACGCAAAATCAGGCTCACGTCTGCATAGAAACCAATCAGCTTGTTCAATTAAACTTTGGCAGAACAGCCTGGAAGCTGATTGGTTTCTATGTAGAACTAAGCCTGATTTTGCACTCTCCAGCTTTAGTAAATAAACCCCCATGTGTCCTCTTCTGCACATAGTGGCTCATATCATACCCTCTGCACTCCTCTTGTGCACATACAGGAAGCTGTCATACCCTCTGCATTCCTTCCCAGCACGTACTGCTTATCCTCCATCCACATTCATCTCCGTTTTATATCTTTACCTACACACATTTCTCACCACCATATCCTACTGCACATACTGCCTGCCCTCATACCCTACACACTCCTTTCTTGCACATAACGCCTGCTGTCATATCCTCTGCACTACTCTCCTACACATACTGCCCCATGTCATACTCTCTGCACTGTCCTCCTGCACATACTATTGTCATACCCTCCACACTCCTCTTCTGCACATGCTTGCCATCATACCCTCTGCACTTGTCTCCTGCACATACTGCCCTCCACTATACCCTCTGCACTTCATTCCTAAATGTACTGCAACATGCCTTATCCTCTACACTTCTCTCCACCACATACTGTCCATTCTCATGCCCTTTGTCCTCCTCCCCTACACAAACTTTACAATGTCATATCCTCTGCACTTCTCTTCTGTTCATACTGCCCCATGCCATACCCTCCACACTGCTCTCCTGCACATACTGTCCCATATCATACCCTCTGCGCTCCTCTCCTGCACATACTGGCCCATATCATACCCTCAGTACTTCCCTCCTGCACATACTGCCGCATGTCGTACATTTTGCTCCCCTCTCCTGCACATACTGCCCGATGTCATACCATCTGCATACCTCTTCTGCACATAGTGCCCCATGTTTTACCCTCTACACTTCTCTCCTGCACATACTGCCCCATATCAAACCCTTTGCTTTCCTCCCCTGCACATACTGCCCTATGTCATACCCTCTGCACTCCTCTCCTGCACATACTACCTCATGTCATAGCCTCTGCACCTCTCTCTTGCACATACTGCCCCATGTCCTACTCTTTGCTCCCCTCTCCTGCACATACTGCCTGATGTCATACCCACTGCATACCTCTCCTGCACATAGTGCCCCATGTCTTACCTTCTTCACTCCTCTCCAGCACATACTGCTCTATATCAAACCTTTTGTTTTCTTCCCCTGTACATACTGCCTCGTGTCATACCCTCTGCACTCCTGTCCTGCACATACTGGCCCATATCATACCCTCCGTACTTTCCTCCTGCACATACTGCCCCATATCAAACCTTTTTTGTTTTCTTCCCCTGTACATACTGCCCCATGTCATACCCTCTGCACTCCTCTCCTGCACATACTACCCCCAGTCATACCCTCTGCACTCCTGTCCTGTACATACTGCCCTCATGTCATACCCTCTGCACTCCTATCCTGTACATACTGCCCCCATGTCATACCCTCTTCCCTCCTCTCCTGCACATACTGCCCCCAGTCAAACCCACTGCACTTCTGTCCTGTACATACTGCCCCATGTCATACCCTCTGCACTGCTCTCCTGCACATACTGTCCCATACCGTATCACCTTTTGTCTGGAATGTGCAGCAGTGTTATAGAAACAGGAGAGATGAACCATGCTCATTGTACAATTAACTGCTCTCCAGCCACCCTATAGCAGATATGCTGCTACAGGGCAGAATGGGTGTGCAAAATCACGTACATATACAGTATGTGATTTTGCATTTCTGGGTAGGGGGTGTCCTACCCGTGCCGCTATCTGCGGCCTCAGCTGTCAATCACTGGGTCCCGGCCGGTGATTACTCACCGGCACCTGGTGATTGCCGAGTAAAAAATACAGTTCTCTCCCCTGTCAGCCCCTGTACACTGCTTTGTATGGCTTTGCATAGCAAAGCCATACAAAGCAGTGTGCTTACAGTTGAAAGCACACACACAGCTTACAGTAAAACAGCACACAGTTAACTCTTTGATTGCCCCACATGTTAACATCTTCTTGTCCAGTGCCATTAGTACAGTGTCAGTGCTTTTTATTAGCACTGATAACTGTATTGGTGTCACTGAGGATGACAGTGACACCAAGTCAGTTCCCCCTAGCGTCAGAATGCCTGCCGCAGATCCGCTATAAGTCGCTGATTGCCGCCATTACTAGTAAAACAAAAATTAAATAAATCCCAGTATATATACTGCCATTTGTAAACGCTATAACTTTCATGTAAACCAATTAATTTACACGTATTGGGGTTTCTTTTTATCAAAGACATGTAGCAGAATATATTTTGGCCTAAATGTATGACGCAATTTGATTTTTAAAATTTTTTTACTGGACATGTTTAATAGCAAAAATTCCAAAATACTGTTTTTTTTTCTCAAAATTGTCAGTCTTTTTTTGCTTATAGTGCAAAAAATAAAACTGCACAGGTGATCAAATGTCACTGAAAGAAAGCTCAATTTGTGGGAAAAAAAGGACGTAAATTGCACTTGGGTGCAGCTTTGCATAACTGCGCAATTGTCAGTTAAAATAACGCAGCGCCATAACGCAAAAAATTCCTCTGTGGCCAATAGTACTGAACCCAGAAGCAGGGAACAACATACAATTACGTCACTGTGCCTGTACAAGCTGACTGTCTGCAGTACAATGCAGATGGACAGTCCTATAATGGTTAAGGCCCCTTTCACACAGGGTGGGCTCTATTTAGTTAAGCAGGGAATCTGTCAGCTGATCCCCTGCTGATCAGAGCAGAGCAGGCAGATGACAGGTCCATGTCCGCTCAGTTTATGCAGAGCGCACGCAGACAGAGCATGTTCTGCTCTTTGGACGGTTGAGTTCAAATGGATTCCGCTGTCTTTTTACACCCGACTGCCCTCTGATCCAATCATCTTTTTTTTTTTTTTTTAGCGGACAAGATCAAATAGGGGTGAATGGAGAGTCTGATCAGGTCCACCTGAAAAACTGACAGGCGGACCTGATTGGACCCGTCGTGTGAAAGGGGCCTTAGTTTTTCCAAGTATTGTGCTCTTTGAATTGCAGGACTTGCAAAAGTTGCAAATGGACAGAGACAAAGTCTGCCAGAACAACAAGGCTCTGTGGGGCAGAGGTTGGATCTCTGACCTTTCTACAACCACTATCAATCCTTCTGCTACTACTACTACCAGCATGGCTCTATTTAGCTATCTGCCTCCTCTTCCTTTTACTTGTTTAAATAGATACTGGGGCGAATTTACTGAAGACAAATACCCTACTGTGCACTTTGCATGTGTAGTTGCACCGATTTTCCCCAGAGTATAGTAGATGTGGTAAAGCTGATTTCCTTCATCCAATCATGTGCAAACAAAAATACAATCTTTTTATTTCCTTGCACCTGATTGGGTATTCTTTACAAAGTGAAGCTTTACCACATTCACGTTTAGGCCCCTTTCACACAGCATTCTGTTTTTTTGGATTAATTCAGTCACATTTTTTCCAAGAAAAAACGGATCAGTTCACATCAGTTTTTCATCAGTTTATGTCAGTTTACATCTGTTTTTCATCAGTTTACATCAGTTTTTAATCAGTTTACATCCGTTTTTCACTGTTTACATCTGTTTTTTTGTCCCTTTACATTTAAAAATTTTAGTTTAATAGCAAAAAGTCAAAAATATTGTTTTTTTTCTCAAAATTGTCGGTATTTTTCTTTTTTATAGCGCAAAAAATAAAAACCGCACCATACCACCGAAAGAAAACTCTATTCGTGAAAAAAAAAAAAAAAGAAAGTAAATTTCATTTGGGTGCAGCATTGCATGAACCGCACAATTGTCAGTTAAAATAACGCAGCGCCGTAAGGCAAAAAATGGCCTGGTCAGGAAGGGGGATAAATCCTCTGGAGGGCAAGTGGTTAATTACAAATGATAAAAACATGAATATGTATGTATGTTTTGAAGGTATCAAACTGTTAACAATTCTTTGGAAGTGAAAACAATGAACATTCCTTATTATTCTTCTAGTTTTTCCAAGAAATAGAATGAAGCGCCACAGTACATTTAGGCCCCGATACAAATCGTGATATTTGTTATAGAAAGTAAATGTTGGCTACAAACGATGCTTGAATGCTGCCTGTGCTGAGGAGTATGGCAAAAATACACCACGCAACATAATGATGGACTCCCACTCCTTCTGTACTCTCATCACATCTTGGGAGACAGCTAGTGTGACATTTCCCGTCCTCCATAGAACACTCCATCTGCTCCCTCCTGCATAAATGTACAGGTACAAATAGTCATCTTACAGAAGCTACAGGAAACAGACTATTTGTTCCTTGTTTATTTCTCTTCTGCTAAACTTGTCATCGAGCAGCAGTGTTCCTGTTAATGATAATACAGAAACAGGAGAGCAGGAACAAGGCTTTAAATAGAACCATCAATTCTCTACTATGCCTTCAGTCTTCAGACCCTGTAGCAGTTCATTTCCAGCAAACACACCATGAAATAGACATCCTTAATTATGGGTAAGTGCAACCTTCAATTCAATTCATATACAAGGAGAAATACTAAAAAATCCAATTAACTTGGAATATATGCAATGACCCTGACATTTCCATATGTTTTTCCTGGTGATATTATTTATTATACTTGTATTTTATGAAACTCTAGTATGTTCTAGCTAGCTGCATTTTTTGTTTTGTGTTGGAAAGGTGTGAATAACTCTTTACTGTGAAGGTTAGGATTAAAATGTGCATTTAAAATGTAATCAAGTTGCTATATATATATATATATATATATATAAAAAAGGATATGTGTTCTGGATGATGTATACATGTAATATGCAGTGCTGGCTCTTTAAAGTGCATCTACACCCAAGAAACAAAATTAATGTATTGCAGCTTACCTTTCCTTTGATATGGCGGCTGTATTTGTTTTCTTTTTACACACTTTTATCTTCCTAATTTCATCTGGGGATCCTGCTAGGCACACGCTTCCTGTTACAGGGTGACAACCCAAATGTATCCAAGAGAAGCATCGTTTTGACCTTTGGAAGGGAGTTTGTTAGGGCTATACAGGGAACAATGTTAACTGATAACTGTTCGCAGAAGAAGACAGCACAGGAAATTATCAGCTCACGGGATTTCTGGCCAGATGAACAGTAATTTTTTTTTTGTGCTTTTTGAGCAGCTATAACAAAATTATTAGAATAGTATATTTACCAGATCATAAAGAAGCTAATGAGGGAACTTTATTGTTAGAGTTTACACTTTTAGGTCACATTCACACTAACCTTACCTGGAAACTATAAGCAGGAGTTTATACGTGTTTTGTATCTAATCTGCACACAATTCTATTTTCTCTAAAAACCCCTAAACTGAAGGCACTTAAATTCAGGTAAGGGCCCTTTCACACGGGCATATGCATATTCTCTGCATGAACGCAAGAAAATATGCATGTAAAGTACTCACATTTAGATGCATTTAGATGAGTACAGCCTTTAGACCTGTACAATTTTTTTTTTATTCAAATGAATGGCTACACACTTACATGCATATACGTTTAGGCATGTTTGTGTGCATTTCAACATACAATCTGCAGATCTGTGCCACCGTGGATGCAAAGGTGTTCTTTTTTTTGTGCAGCTAAACACAGTGCACATTTTTGCAGATAGGTGCAGCTTTTTGTTTATGGGCTCATTGATTACTATAGTGCTGCATTTAGATACGCACAAAACTATGTGCAGTGCGCATCTAAATGGATTTTTCTGCCTGTGTGAATGAGCCCTAAATGCGCAGTGTGATTTACACCATTTAAAATTATTTATATGCGTTTAGAAATGTCCTGAAAACATATGTATGTCATTGCCAGTGTGATAGAGGCCTAATACCTGTAAAATGGATTCAGATGGTAGCAATGCATTTTGACTCCTCTGGGATTAATAAAGTTCAATAACTATCTGAAATTAGAAAAAAGTAACTATTGTTATAATTATTAAATATCACTTTATATTCTTATTTCTCCTTTCATATGTTTATTCAGCTATGTTATTATCTTAGCAGTGTTTCCTTGATATTAATTTTAAATGTTGAAGAGCGGTCTATATCAATTTCATGTTTAGCTCAGTTACATACTTTATACTTACTGTTAAAACCATACAGGAGTCTACAACTGATCTCCTTACAGAGACAGAAACCTGGAGCATGCATGAGCAAGGTTATGATCGATGGTGATTGCACCTTTGTAAAATCCTATTATGTCCTGGTCTGTTCTGTTAGCAGTCCACAAAATAGTGACAGACCTCTTCTTCCAGTATACTATAGTCAACCAAAGTAAAGGGAGTCTATATGCTTTGACCCCCACCACATATCTGTAGTTTCTGGTTTCTAAGGTATTCAAAAGTGGCATTAGGTATATAAACAATATAAATGATTTGATATTGTAAATATACCCAATAGTAAATTGGATACTGCCAATTGCAAGTAAGAGGGAATATTGTGTCATTAGGCATTTAGTGCAAAACAAGTGCAAAACAATCATAATACAGGCAGAAATAATGTTAAAAATATTTAAAGCTAACTTGTAATGATATAAATATGTACTGTAGACTATGTAGGATTCCTTCTGAAAATGCTGGTTTCCTGTTTTTCTTCCAAGTTTCCACTGACCTAAATCAGAGTATAAGCCTGTTAGCTGAATATGTACCTTGGGAGACCAGATATTTGCAAATCTTTAGAAATGTGTGTGTGTCACCGGCCTTGCATAAAGCATATTTTAAAGAGGAATTCCAGGTATGGATATTTTTATATACACAGCTCAAAAACATTAAAGGAACACACTTTTTAATCAGAGTATAGCATCAAGTCAACTAATGTCCTGGGATATTGATCTGGTCAGTTAAGTAGCAGAGGGGGTTGTTAATCAGTTTCAGCTGCTTTGGTGTTAATGAAATTAACAACAGGTGCCATAGATGGGCAACAATGAGATGACCCCCAAAACAGGAATTTGGCTGGGGTCAGTGTCACTACTGGTAGCATGAGGCATTTCCTGGACCCTACACAGGTAGTCCAACTCCTCCAGGATAGCACATCAATATGTGCCATTGCCAAAAGGTTTGTTGTGTCTCCGAGCACAGTCTCAAGAGCATGGAGGAGATTCCAAGAGACA